TGGAAGTGAAAATCGTACCGCATCCCATGACGTCACACATGATCACGCGAGAGTGAATTTGAGAAGTATTAAGTATGGGAAGCCGTTGGTATAAACAAGTAGCTCCTGTTATAAATTATAGGCATTTAAGAATGTTTGTGATGATTTCATAGTTTATTTTGTTCAGGTTAGGTTTCAACAGTTGTATATAGCTTCAAGAATTTTTAGTTTTTGTTTATAAGAGATGCAAATATAAATATAGTATATATGTACATAGTAATTCAACAACGCTCTAAATTTAAACAGCGCGTGTATACTGAATTAAATAGTGTTGTTCCGAAATGAATGCACCCGACTTTCTAATGTTGTCTAGCAAAATGTAGTCTGACATGAAGATGCTTACGAAGCATTGATATTTCATTGAATTCTTCCATGTTGAAAAGAAAAGAATAGCTCCATTGATAGTAATCGATGTTTGATAGAAGTTTACGGAGACCAAACGGTGAATGTGAGCACAGCTAGTTGATAGGTAATTAGTTTCGGTAGTAACGACAAAGAAAACAGTGCGGGACTATTACGTGATATCTGTTCTCTTGTATGGCAGCGAATATCTGAATGTATTTTATGTACTTATGCCAGTATCTATCTATCTATCTGTGCATATCTATTTGTCTTTGTGCACTGAGATCTGAAGACGTATTGCGATGGCTAAAGTGCATTCCAAAAGCTAAGCAAGGTATTTAGAAACAGAAAAAAATCATTAAAAACAAAGGAATAATTACTGAACTCTCCTCGTCTATGGTAGTGAATGCTAGACAATCTCCTCAAATATGAAGGAGAGACTTGAAGCAAGAGAAATGTGGTTCTACAGAAAGATACTGTGGATACCATGGACCGAACATGTGAGCAACACCGAGGGTTGGGAGAGAACATAAATAAAAATAAACTTATACTTAACATTATGAAGAGGGATTTGCAAATTTTGGGGTCCGTAATGAGGAAAGAGGGCTTGGAAAATCTGATACTCACAAGACAGACTGAGGGAAAGAGGGACAGAGGAAAGAAGCTTATTACGAATTTATTAAGACTTATTAAGAGCTGCAAAGAACAGGAAGATGTGGAGGGCCATGATCATCTACGCCCCAATGGGACACGGTACATAAAATAATTGACGACAATGATTAAGAAACAGAAAAAATTTCGTTCAAAACAAAGAAAAGAGTACTGAACTGTTACATGATATCTGTCCACGTGTATGGCAGTGGATTCTGGACAATATCTGTTGGACAGATTGAAGCATGAGAATGGCAGTGAATTCTGGACAATATCTGTTGGACAGATTGAAGCAAGAGAAATCAGGTTCTACAGAAAGATGCTGAGGATACCATGGAACGAAAACGAGGGTTTGGAAATAACAGAAACGAAAAAGAAACATCAGAAAGAGGCATTTGAAATTTCTAGGGTCCGTAATAAGGAAGGAGGGCTTGGAAAATCTGATACTCACAAGACAGAATGAGGGCAAGAGGGACAGAGGAAAGGAGCTTATTAAGAAGTTGAGATTTATTAAGAGCTACAAAAGACAGGAAGATGTGGAGGGATATGATCACCTACACACTGAATGGACACGACGCATAAAAGAAGTGACGACAATGATGCGTGCCAAGCCATTTTTTGGATGGCATGACACGGCTCAGACTTGACATAACACCTCTTTGTGGCTTATATTTAAGGAACTGTGTACTGATGTAAATATCAACTTCACAATCATTTTTAGAAGGCTTGAATATAGAACAATTTATGCAGAGTGTGTGCTACGGATTCTCACGGAAGAACAGACAGAATTAGATGATGATCCAGTGAAATTGATAGTTCTCTGGACAGCATCAGGCTATACAATAGTTACATATTTTTTCGAACGCGTCAATAATGCATAGCCAATCATGCTGTATTGACAATATTTGGGAGCTGAATGCACACTATATATATAACAGTGTTATTGGGCTCGCTATATTTGTTGCAATTTCCTAAGAAATAAACAGGAGGTATTGGCATCGATGCCTATCTCAGAAAATGAATAGCTGATGTAACTCTCTGGTAAGTAGCTGACACCCAATTATTCCATAGAAGCCGAAAAAGACTGCAAATTATTTTCATGTCAAAATTTCCTGAGCGCTTATGTAGCGCCCAAGGCTTATGTATTTAATATATAAAGCTTACATTTTGAGTAGGTGCGTATGGCAGATCGAAACATTCGAAATTAATGATTTGCAGGAATAAACTGCAAGCCAACACTTTACGGCAGGAAGAGTAAGATATCGAAGAAAAAAACTGAGATAGATAGATAGATAGATATGAACAAACTTAGATAGATAGATAGATAGATGGATAGATAGATATGAACAAAGATAGATAGATAGATAGATAGATAGATAGATAAGAAAAGACTGCGATAGATAGATGTGAACAGATATAGATAGATAGATAGATAGATAGATATGAAAAGAATGAGATATATAGATATATAGATAGGTAGATAGATATGAACAGACTGAGATAGATAGACAGATAAATAGCTAGATAGAAGAATATGAACAGAATGAGATAGATAGATAGATAGATAGATAGAGAGATAGATAGTGATGAAAAGACTGAGATAGATAGATACGAACATAGACATGAACAGAATTATATATATATATATATATATATATATATATATATAAACAAAATGAGATAGATACGTGAAGACAGAGATAGATAGACAGATAAATAGATAGAAAAATATGAACAGAATGAGATAGATAGATAGATAGATAGATAGATAGATAGATAGATAGATAGATAGATAGATAGATAGATAGATAATTTTTAGAGTATACCCATATTTATATAGACATTTATTAAACAGTATACTTATTTTCGACTTCCAGTCTGCATATACGAGAAATCTTATTAAAGAAAATATCCGCTTTATTTTCTTCAATTTTTCTTCCCTATAAGACAAAAACCGTCCACCCTGCCATGACCCCACCTTGTGCCTTTCGTCTGACTGAAACATTGAAATGGATAAATTCTGTAATAGTTTTTCGACTGGTTGATTTATTAGCTTTCACATTTAAAATCGATTTCCCGCCCTTCTTTCATTGTATAGACTCGAACTCAGTCCAGCCTAGGGTTGATAAAAAAATCGTTGATATCGTGATATAACAGTAGTATTTAAAAGTGTTCAATACATGTGTGAACAAATTTATAATACTTCATCTCAGAAATATAGACAGATACTGAAGGTTCGGTACGGACCTGATACACCGAAAATATGGTGATAAATATGGCGACAAAGATGAGGACAATAGTCCGAATAATGTAAATAGTGTACATAATACCTCATCTCAGAAATATAGACAGATACTGAAGGACCGAAACGTTGTAATAAATATGGCGACAAAGATGAGGACAATAGTCCGAATAATGTAAATAATGTACATAATACCTCATCTTAGAAATATAGACAGATACTGAAAGGCCGAAACGTTGTAATAAATATGACGACAAAGATGTGAACAATAGTCCGAATAATGTAAACAATGTACATAATACCTCATCTCAGAAATATAGACAGATACTGAAGGGCCGAAACGTTGTAATAAATATGGCGACAAAGATGAGGACAATAGTCCGAATAATGTAAATAATGTACATAATACCTTATCTTAGAAATATAGACAGATACTGAAAGGCCGAAACCTTGTAATAAATATGGCGACAAAGATGAGAACAATAGTCCGAATAATGTAAATAGTGTACATAATACCTCATCTAAGAAATATAGACAGATACTGAAAGGCCGAAACGTTGTAATAAATATGGCGACAAAGATGAGAACAATAGTCCGAATAATGTAAATAGTGTACATAATACCTCATCTTAGAAATATAGACAGATACTGAAAGACCGAAACGTTGTAATAAATATGGCGACAAAGATGAGAACAATAGTCCGAATAATGTAAATAGTGTACATAATACCTCATCTCAGAAATATAGACAGATACTGAAAGGCCGAAACGTTGTAATAAATATGGCGACAAAGATGAGGACAATAGTCCGAATAATGTAAATAGTGTACATAATACCTCATCTCAGAAATATAGACAGATACTGAAAGGCCGAAACGTTGTAATAAATATGGCGACAAAGATGAGGACAATAGTCCGAATAATGTAAATAGTGTACATAATACCTCATCTCAGAAATATAGACAGATACTGAAGGGCGAAACGTTGTAATAAATATGGCGACAAAGATGAGGACAATAGTCCGAATAATGTAAATAGTGTACATAATACCTCATCTCAGAAATATAGACAGATACTGAAAGGCCGAAACGTTGTAATAAATATGTCGACAAAAATGAGGACAATAGTCCGAATAATGTAAATAGTGTACATAATACCTCATCTCAGAAATACAGACAGATACGTGTGAACAAAATATAAATAAAAGTAAAAATAACATGTAGAGCTTTTAACATTCAAAATTCTGAAGGTCTCTTCTGGCGATATTTTTTAAAGTGACCACCTTAACGCTTTATTTAAAAAAAAAAACACAAAGAACAGTACATAATTATTTTTCAAACATGACTTAACAGGCGCATGACGATCGAAAAACATGACATTGAGTGTAATAGAAAGGAAGGGGGTATGGAAAAGAAAGAAGAAAAAAAAAGAAGGGTGAAGAAAAGAAAGGAAAAGAAAAGAAAGGAACGGGAATTTAAGTATATTGTAAATGTTTACAGTAAAGAAGAAGAAAAGCAAATATATAACTTAAATTTAAGGAAAGATAGGTAGGCGAAGGTATCTTAAGAATAACAATGGAGTTTTATGTTAAATTTTTTTTTTATCCGGCCTCATATTCACTTAATAAAATTGCCATGCGCCTGTTAATTTATTTTTTTAAAATAATTATGAAGCGTCCTTTATGTTCTTTTTTTTTTTTAAATAGAGCGTTCAGGTGGCCATTTTA